GTGGTGCCCCTGCTAGGCCTGTGGTACCCCTGGCGGGCCTGTGGTGCCCCTGTCGGCTGTCAGGCCTGTGGTGCTCCTGGCAGGCATGTGGTGACCCCAGGCCCAAAGTCATGACCCATGTGACCTCCCCCCTGGGATTCGCCACTGATTAGTACTGCGATGGCTTCTTGGGAATTTGATGGATACATGGAGGATATATGGAATTTGATGGAATTTGATGAATTTGATGGAAACATGTAGGATACATGGAATTTATCAAACGACAATAAGGAAGAGGCAAACACATAGGTACTTGAGGATCAGCTTAAAGTTAACCACACATACGGGGGTGAACTGCCATTTTCGTTAAGCAAAAAAAAAAAAAAAAAAATCATCGTGTCAGGGCTGTGACGAAAAATAAGTGGCCTAAATCCGATGAGAAAACAGGATTTGGGGGTACTTTAGGTTTGGCTCCTTGAGCTGGTGCCCCCCTTGTCTCAAATCGTTCCGCCGCCTATGACCAGCCCATCACAAGCACCACACCCTCCTACCTTGAGCGTCTTATCCCAGGATCCTGTCATGATGCACGTGTAGTTGGGCGCCTTCACCCAGTGCACGGTTTTCACTGGCGCGTCGTGCTGGGCCACCTGGACGGTCTGGTTGCTGGCCAGGTCCCAGCAGCGCACCGTGTTGTCGCAGCCCGACATGAACACCTTGGTGCCGTCGTCGGCCCAGGCCACATCCAGCACCGGGCCGCCCATGGTCTGCTGCGCCTTGGGCTGCGTCTTGCCGCTGTTCTGATCCACCTCCCAGCAGCGCACCTGAACGGACGGGAAAAACGAGGGTGGATGATCGGTCAAAGACGGCACGAAGGTAGAACCAAATACAAAAGGCTAATGCGTAACAATTCTGACAGTAAACTGTTCAGCATCGTAGAAAACTATGCTACCATAAACATAAAATTATATCATCAAACACGTTAAAAACGGAATGACAACGAACAAGGTAAAAAGGATACATATTTCCTCGTAATTCTGAGCATTTCAACAACAAACAATCGTCACGTATCACTTGGTAACTCGCTCCACCCTCATGGTGTTAATTTATAATTTTAGGGTGCCCGGACTTCAAAAGTCATCATCGCTCAGCATCACAATCTTCAGAGCGGTGCACCCTCTATCACTCTCTCCTTCCAACATCCGTCGCCACCCCCCCCCCCCCACGACTCACATTGTTGTCCCAGCTGCCGGCCACCAGGAAGGTCTGCGGCACGGCCGGCGGCGAGAACTCCAGACACGACACCGAGTCGTCGGGCGGCGACACCACCTCGATGTCCTTCATCGGGTTGGCCGTGCTGGCCGCCGCCGTCTGGCCGAACACCGACGACGAGGCGCCCAGCCCGCCCGTGCCAAACATGGTCATCGCACCAGGCTGCGCTCCTTCAGGCCGAGCTTCTCAAGGGACCGAGCACTGGCAGTGTGGAGACAAAAGGGTAGAGTGCCGAGATACCAGCAGAATATGTGAAGGTATTGGGACTGGGAGTCTTGAGCACCTCAAACTGTGGACACAGAAAACATGTGGTTCAGAAATGGTATTTGTCAACTATCTTAACATTCATCATTTTCTTTGAATTGCCCCTCACCAACTCTTCACCTGTCAAAGAAAAGGACCTGGGAATCACAATTATGCCAGGCCTCACAGTATCAGAGCAGGTGATGAGAGCAGCAGCAGTAGCGAACTCCATAGTGGGCATTCACCTTCATGGACAAGGAAATGTTCCAGCCAATCTACCAAACTCTGATAGGCCCTTTCAAGGAATATGCCAACCAAGCTTGGTCCCTATTTCTCCAGAAGCATGTCAAAAGGCTCAAGAGGATCTAAAGAAGAGCTACAAAAGTTGGTAGAGCGTTGGACTCCGCGTGGTGAGGGCACGCGTTCCCAGTTACGACAGTCCGGTTCGAGGCACCACGGGCGCTTGACTTTTAGGAGCCTCCTGACAGGTATGGTTGCGGTTGGTGACAGGCCATAGCCAGGCGAAGTCAGTGAAGGGACCGGCCGTGCGTGACTATGTGCGCACGTTTAACTTTGGACTCCAAATCCTGCCATATAACCGGAATTGCATGATCGGAGGGCAGAGGGCAGGGTCGACGCAACAAGCTTTGCTTAGCGGAGACTCTGTTCTTGTGAATCCTTCTGTTTAAAAGGTTCTGACTAAATTTATAATAAAATACATCCACATTTAAAAACAAAAAAAAAAACAATCATAGTTGCGGCACTCGGCCGCCAGGATCGCTGCCACACAAGCGGTCGGTAGTCGTAAAGCAGGCACCACACTTGTTTTTTTTTTGCAACCAAGGAAACTAGGTGCTATACCCAGAGATGCTTTCTAATTAAACCAAAGCAAACCAAACCTAACAAAACCTGACCTAACCTTACCTACAACCTGAAACATACCACCTAAAACCTAAAACCTACAACCTAACCTACAGTCGCCTCTCCTAGTCCTTGGTTGCAAAAAACAAGTGTGACCCCTGCTTTACCTACTACCGAGCAGCCTGTTGTTGTTGTTGTTGTGTTCCCCTCGGCCCCGTCACCGGGGCGTAGTCGTTCGGCTCTGGAAGGACCGAAAGCCGGCGGCCAAGGCCGCCACCACGTCGTCCCGTCTCAAGTCGGTGGGGCGTCCGTGAATGTTGCCCATGGCGAGGAGGCGGGCCCCGCAGAGGCACGGGCAGCGCAGCAGGACGTGTTGCGGGGTGTCCGCCTCCTCCTCGCACACCAGGCACCGGGCGGCCGGACAGCCGGCGTCCGCGCAGCCGGGGCAGGCGGCGGTCGGCCGGCGGCCGATACGGTGGAGGTACTGGGCTGACATGCTCCAGTGGCCGGCCCGAAGTTGATGCACGTCCACCGCGGCCTCTCGACTGTCAAGCCGGACCGGCGCGGGCAGAGTCTGATCCGTGAAGATGGAGCGGTACCAGCCGTCGGGCCAGCTCTCTTGCCAAGAGCGGCGAGCAGTCCTGGCGGCGGCGCGGGTGATACTCCTGACGTCCAGGGGGGGCGCCGGCCTGGTCTAGCTCGGCGGCTTCCCGCGCCAAGGCGTCGGCTCGTTCATTGCCAGGCAGGCCACAGTGGGCCGGGACCCATTGGAGGTGGAGGCGGCGTCCGCTGCTGGCAAGCTGTAGAAAGAGCCGCCAGATGTAAGCACCCAGCTGGCTTGCCTGTGCCGCCGGGCCCGCGTCCACTGTCTGCAGCGCCGCCCTGGAGTCGAGGCAGATAATGGTGGTCGGGTACCTGTCCGGGTCCGGTGAGATGTCTGGTTTGGCGAGCTCTTCCAGCGCGGCTCGTAGGGCCACCAGCTCGGCTCGTGTGCTTGAGCAGAGAGAGCCGGCGGGGGCTCTGACCGTGTGCTCGGTGCCGGTCGGGAGAGCGATCAGAGCGCCGCCTCCTCCGCGTGCGGTGCCGCCGTCCGCCGATCCGTCGGACCACACCCAGGTCGCCCGCTCCGCTCCGGGGAGGTCGGTCAGCAGTGCCTCCGCCGCTGCACGGCGGGCGTGTTCGCCGGCGCTGCGGACGCACTCGGGCGGGACGGCGCAGGAGATGGAAATCCCCTCGCGTGAGGTCCATGGCGGGAGCGGTACGGCGACCATAGGCTCGACCGAGGAGGCGGCGACACCTTGGATGCCCAGTGTCCATCTTCCCTGGTCGCGCCATCCTGTTACGTTGCGGAGTCGGCAGGGGACGGTGGCTTCGGCGAGCTCGCGGAGCGGGTCCTCGGCGGGCAGTGCAGAGGCGCGCGCCAGCATCCTCGCGCCGAGGGTGGCGCGAGCAGCCTTGACAGCTCCCGTGTCAGCGGCAGTTCGGTCCTGCCAGCTCGGACCTGGCACGCTGCCAGCTGACTGGACTTGCGCCCAGTCAGCCAGTCAGTGTCAGTCCCAGTCAGTCAGTCAGTCATTCCCAGTTGCCCAGCCAATGTCATGCCTATTCTCAATGTATGACATTGAGAATAGGCAGCATTCCAAGATCATCTGCTCCCTATGCCTCTTTCCCATCCACTATGGTAATATCTATAATTATGGTGTGCATCTACTAGGCATGGTGAGCACCTGCCTTGGCCCTCACCGACTTGAACTGATTGCAACTGCATCTAACAACAAGCAAAGAGATACTCATCGGCCTCTCATAAAGAGCCAGACTGGAAAACATCCATACACTACGCCGGACGCCCGTGAGACCCTCATGCACAGAAATTCGGCGCAAGCGATTTTGCGCTGAAATTTCGTCATGATTTGCGCCGAAAATTGGGTGCTTCTGCTTATTTGCGTCAAAATTAAACCACTTTTATATAAAGCACATGTGCACATCTACCGACCAAGGCTATATCAACCAGATAGGTAGAGCATCCCAGGGCGTTGGACACTCACATGTTTGAGCGTCCGAATAACTTTTTATTTTCATGGAAACCCAATGCCACAATACGCTTAGCGCACTGTAGCGTAGTGCCGTGAAGCAAGGCCCTTGCTAAAAATTCCGGGGCCACAAAAATCGACGGACCGGGTGTACGAGGCTGGCGGGCGCCAGCAAGGGCCGGGCAGTGGAGCAGCACGTGCCCCAGCACATCAGCCTCTTCTCGGCACACGGCGCAGAGCACCGCGGGTCAGTGTGCACCGCTTGTCTGGGCACTGCTGGCACGCTTCAGAGGGGAGCCGGCCGATTCGTTGCAGGTACTGGAGCGAGCGGCCCCATTGGCTCGGGCCCCGCCCTCTGCCCTCACCTGGTGCACCGAAACGGCGTCCTCTCGGTCCTCTCCGGGGATAGGGAGCGGCGGCGTGCTCCCGAGGAGTGGCTTGAATAATGAATCGGACCATTTGTCGCGCCATTGACGCGAGGCCGCACAATGAAGCATCCGGGTCAGCGTGCGGGCGTCAGAGGGCAGGCCCAGGGTGGCCGTTGTTTCGCCAGGTCGTCTTCGCTCTCATACCCCTCGGCCTTGTTGTTGTTGTTGTTGTTGTTCCTCCCGGGCGACCCTAGGGTCGCCCGTCAGCCAGCGGCTCCAGATGGCGCCTGAAGCCGCGGGCCAAGGCCGCGACGACGTCGCCGTCGCGCAGCTGCGCAGGTTCCGCGTGGATGTTGCCGAGCAGCCGAAGGCGGAGGCCAGCGAGGCTCGGGCACCGGAGCAGCACGTGCTCCGGTGTATCCGCCTCTTCCTTGCACACGATGCATCGTGCCGCTGGGCAGCCCTTCTCTGGGCAGCCGGGGCACGAGTTCGTCGGGAGGCGGCCGATGCGGTGGAGGTATTGGCGGGCCATACCCCAGTGACCGGCCCTCAGTTGATGGACGTCCACCGCCTCGCTCCTGCTCACGCCGGAGACCGGGCTCGGCATCCGGTCTTCCCAAATGCGCCGGAAGAAAGAGTCCGGCCATGACCTGCGCCATGCCTGTGCAGCCGTCCTGGCCACGGCGCCTGTGATGGTGCGGACGTCCGCTGGCGCCTCCTGCTGGAGGCCGGCTGCTTCCCTTGCCAGCTCATCCGCCTTCTCATTTCCGGGGATACCGCAATGCGCGGGCACCCACTGCAGCATCACCTCTTGGTGTCTGGCGGAGATGCTTAGCAGCAGAGCCCAGATCGCCGCTCCCATCGGGGTGGTCTGCGATCCCGCACCTCCGGCCAACAGGGACAGTGCCGCCTGGGAGTCGGTGCACAGGACCACGGGTCCTTCCGCCAGGGCGCCTGATAGGTTGCTGACCTCCTCCAGCGCCGCTTTGATGGCGCATAGTTCGGCGCGGGTGCTGGAGCACAGGCGTCCTGCAGCGACCCTGATCTCCCTGGTCTCCCCGTTTTTGAGTGTGAGCAGGGCGCCGCCGCCGCCATTTGTCGTGCCGCTCTCCGCCGAACCATCGCTCCAGATCCAGGCGGCAGCTTCTGGGAAGGTGGCGAGGTGGTTCTCGGCGGTCTGGCGGCGAACCGTGGCGGGGGCGTCTCGGCTGGCTGCCCCGCTCATAGTCGGGTATATCTTAACAGCTCCCGGGGCAGACCAGGGGGGGGGGGGGAGCATCACTTGTAAACGCTCCTCCACCGGCACGTCCTCCAAGGAGCAGGCTCGAAGCGCCTCTCTCCCTAGGCGTCTCCATCCAGTGGTCGACTTCAGTCGGCGGGGGGGATCTTGGTCGGCGATCACTCGCAGTGGGTCGTCTTCAGGTAGCGACCTCGCCAGGCAGAGCATCCTGGTGGCCAGAGTACCGCGCCTGACCTGAGCGGCTGGCAGTCCGGCCTCCGCCATGAGCGGTGCTACCGGGGTTGAGCGTGTGCAGCCGGTCACCACACGAGCCACCGATCGCAGCTCGCGGTCCAGCTGCTCAACGTGTCCAGGAGGCGTGGCGGGTAGCCATGCCGATGCCGCGTACTCGAGGGCTCCTCTGATGTAGCCGTTTGCCACAGTCCGGAGCTGCTGTTCCTGCAGACCCCACGACCGGTTCGTCATGGAGCGCAGATGGGCGATCCGGGGTTTGGTTTTCCTCCTCAGGCTGGCGCAGTGCTCGCCGAAGTGAAGCAGCCTGTCCAGTGTGATGCCGAGGAGCTTCAAGTGGGGGCTTCCCTTGACTTCAGCCCCATCAACTCTGAGCTTGAAGTCGACGGCATCTCTACTCCACTGGGAGAGGACGAGGGCTTGCGTTTTGTGGCCGGCGATCTTCATCTTCCAGCGGCGCGCCCACCCCGCAAGGGTGTCCGCTGCCTGCTGCGCTCTGGCCGTAGCTTCGGGCATCGTGGCGCCCGCGCTCAGGGTCGCCGTGTCGTCCGCGTAGGCGAATACGGACGTCCTGGAGACGCGACGGAGGTCCTCGATGAGGTCGGCGGACCAGAGGGTGAAGAGGGTAGGGGCCAGGACCGACCCCTGTGGCAGGCCCGCGCGGAACGGGCGCTCCGAGCTGCGCACCCCGTTCACCTCAGCTCTGGCCCGGCGGTCCCTCAGGAAGCCGAACACCCACGTGGCCATACACCTCGGGAGGTGATGGAGGAGCTTCGAGTAGAGCATTCGGTGATCGACGGTATCGTAGGCGCGGCTGAAATCGAAAGCCAGGAGGACGAACTTATCGGCCGTAGTACCATCTTTCGGGCGTCCTCGTGGCTTCGGCCGGTTCCAGCCGTCTTGAACAGTCTGGATCAGTCTGGCAAGGCTCTCCTCTGCGCCTCGGCCTCGTCGGAAACCAACCTGTTCGGGCGGAATCAGGTGCTTCTTGTCCGCCACGAAGGTCAGTCTAGCAGCCACCATTCTCTCGGCCAGCTTCGCCAGGTGGCTGGTGAGGCTGATAGGGCGGTAGCTGCTTACCGAGCCCGGGTTCTTGCCCGCTTTAGGAATCGGGATGATCGTTGCCCTTCTCCAGGTCGAGGGGATGAGCGCAGTGTCCCATGAGCGATTGATGAGCGCCAGGATGGCTCCCCGCGCCGCGGGGCCCAGATGTGAGAGGTGCTCGGCGCAGATGTCGTCTGGGCCGGGGGCCTTCCTCATCTTCAGTTTTCTGATCTGAGCCTCCATCTCCTCTTCCCAGTGTGGCTAAATTCATTTTACGTTAGGGGAAGATGTAGAAAAAAGGCCTGAAAGGATGTCGTTATTTTAATAAAACTTGACTTCGACCCTTTTTATGTCACGAGAAAATGATGTAGAAATATTAAATACTGATAAAACTTTGAAGGTATTCTGATATTCGGGATGTTAAATGAGGTTTAAGTTGGGTCATATATTTGAACATTAGGGGTATTCGAATGGTTGTCTTGACGTGTTGTAAGAGTTTGCGAGGTTTGTGTTTCTCTTGCTCCTAGATGTTTGGGTTCGAGGTTGTTATTATGAGTCGTGACTGCTGTGTGGATGTTTTTATTTGTATTTTTAGGATGTCATTATACTTTTCATTATGGGCGGATTTCCCCGCATCATTACAATTTTGGACACACTGCCTCTTCCGAAAAGGGCTGGCATGCGTCGGTCTTGCGGCCCTCACATGTGCATACCCCTCGGCCTCGATACCGCAGTGGGCAGGACCCTGACTGCAGTATTACTTCACGACGCTCAGCAATGTTCATTAAGGTCTTCCATACCCATATTCGTCCCGAGGGTGGAGGCCTTCCCTGGGTGGCCAGCGGCTGCTCCTCCGCTGAGTAGACTCAGGGCGGCTCGCCAGTTCGAGCACTCGACGACCGGGGCAGGGACGTCTCGTCCCGAACCTTCTCCAGAGCCGCCCGCGGGGCGAATCTGCTGCTAGATTGACCAGCGTGTGGACTTAACTCGGTGACCGACATTTACCAAAAAATTATCTGGCCGCCCTGCGCCGAAAAATTCGGCTGCCGCCATCCGCTGAATTCGGTGCATATGAAATTATGCCGGACGTGCGCTGAAATTTTTGCCGCAATCCCGCCACTACGCCGGACATATTCAGCATAACGTGCATTTTTCCAGTCTGGATAAAGAGTGCTGGAACATCAAAGAATGTAGGCAAGGAATGAAGCTGATTTCTAATATTTCCTTACTCTTTAGTAGGCAGAACAAATTTAACCTGAATTCGTATTCAATTGGTATTTGGTTTTGGTGCTCTGTCCTCAGCTGCATAAGTGATAAGCATGGTGCTTCTGCACCATTCCTAGCGCACCAGTTTATTGTTTATTTCAATTCGTTTGTGCGATTAATGCTAGTTGAACCAGCGATGGCAAGCAGAATCAGGTTAAATTCAACCTTGAAGTAGGTACCTATTTTACTTAGCATGCATTTGATTCTGAATTCTGAATTCTGAATGCCTGTCCCGTAGCTCAGTTGGTAGAGCATCGGACTCCCGGTAGTGAGAGCCCGGGTTCGAGACGCTCCGGCGCTCGATATATGAGACTCCTGACGGGGATGGTCTGCGGTTGGTGGGAGCAGCCGCAGCCAGTTGAAGTCAGTTGAGTGGGACAGGCCGTGTCCGGCTTTGAAGGGCACGTTAAACTTTGGCATCTAAATTCTCCCGTTACCCGGAATTGCGCGATCAGACGGTAGGGGTCGGGGTCTACGCAACAAGCTCTGCTTAGCGTGGACTCCGGCTCTGTCAATCCGTCCATTCAAACATTCGAGCTAAATTTATTTTTTAAAAAATCGATGGAAACTGCTTTACAGCAACCACCAATCACCAAACGCTCAATGTTTGGCCAAATACTGCAAAAATGAGAGAGACTGACGCACTGATGATGAACGATTAAGTTTTCTTGCGGGAGCCCAATTCACAGTTATTGAACGTTACCGGAATAAAATAATTAATCTCTTTTTTTATATTTAAGAAACAACAGTGGAATAATATTTGTTATGACCTTTTCCTCGAATTAAGAAATGTAAAAAAGTCGAAAGTGATGTATTCTAAGTGAATTTTCGCCCACAGGGCATCGTCAGACAATTTGACATTTGTACATGTTTGCTCAATGCTATTTGCTTGTCTGACGATGCCCTGTGGGCGAAAATTCACTTAGAATACATCACTTTCGACTTTTTTACATTTCTTAATTCGAGGAAAAGGTCATAACAAATATTATACTTTATTATAACAAGATGTTCCTCGCCAGAGCACTAAACAACAAACAACAGTGGAAACAGTGGAAACGGAAACAACCTACCGCGCACAGGCTATGGCGCGTCTTTGCTGCGCCATACATGTATTAAAAGTGCCTGACAAGCGCGAAGCAAATAGCGCAACTGCTATTTTCACTAAGTGACGTCTAATTAACAATTTTGCAAGAAATGGCGGACATAAATACTTTTTTATAATTTGTTGGATTTCAAAACAACAAAAAACTTTTGATAAATATTAAAATTCAGTTGATAAAATAAGCACCTCAACAAATATCTGAATGTTGGCAGCTTAGCACCACTGAGTCTGGGGCAATGCTTTATTGAACTGTACATATTTTTCACAAATTTCCACAGCAAACATTTGCTCAAGTAAATCTTTTTCTGTTTTTTTATTTCTTCTTAGCAATTAATATCCAAAGAAGAGCACTTTACAAAGAGCATGCTTTCCATTTGTAAGACTTACGTCATTTGAAAAAGAAAGTCGAAAAGACCTCGTATAGTATACGTCTAATGTGCGTCAAAAGATAATGGAAAAAGTCTACTAAATTAAATTGTTTGTTTACGTAACATATTTCAAGTGCCATTATAGAGTTCAGTGAAGTGCGTAGATTAGATCATTTAGGTCGATCGCGTTGCGCGGGTAAAGAGAAGCTGGGGTTGAAGGTGTAGTTGTGATAATTTTGCTTGATAAAGTTATCTCATCTACATTCCTCTTTAACAGGCTCATGCAGACAAATGGTTGTTAAAATATTTGCGAGCCAATGTTAAAATATTTGATCTAGTCCACTTTGATTACGTAAGTTGGGTGCTCTACCGTGCTATCATTTTCCGTGGTTTTGTTTCATTATGTAATTTTGTCATTTACATTATCAGTGTGGGTCTATTTCAGGTTTGCTTTTAAAGTTGCACTGACTCAGTGAACTTCGAAAATGTTTGGAAGGCATTTATCAATGTTCAAGCCTCACATCGGACAAGTGAGAAGTCTTTTGAGACCATCAAATCAATTTGGAAATTCCATTATACTGTTGCAAGATGGGCTCCTCGTACAAGAACTTCCTGTGCTGGTTCGTCATACAAGTGACCATTCCTTCATAATCAAAAACTTTGGTCCTGTCAACTCGCATGAAGTTCAAGGCAGTGAGGCTGTTAGCAATAATGTGAGCAAAAATAAAAGCGAGTTGACAGAAGTTAAAAGTCCCACCAGTGATGAAGAGGAGTTTGTTGGTGCTCTGACAAGGACAGGGAGGGTTGGACACATATACCGCCTTCTTGAAACAGCTACAATTGAGGGGATCACCCCATTTGTTGCCTTGAAGGCTCTGATCAGAATTGCTCAGCTTGAGAGCAGAGAAGATGCATCTGAAGCTGATAAGACATTTGCAAGGCAGGCAGTCATCCAAAAGCTGATGAGGACAGTATTGGATGGTGGAGATAATGAAACTCTGGTAAATACATTCACATTCATGAAAGATCTGAAACCTCTTGGGAGTTTGGATAACCTGTGGCAAGAGTTGCAGTCTCAGTGCATTGACAAGGCTGCCACAGGGATGCTAACCATCAGCCAAATTGCCAGGGTCATCAAGAGCCTTCATGCTGTGAATGGCACTAAATCTGCAATAGCTGATCATCTCTGGCAAGGAATCAAAATCACTGCATCTCAGATCGATGAGACCAACATCGCTGACCTGTGCTCCATCCTGCCGCTGCTCAAGTACAGCAACAAGGTGGTGTTCCACACCCTGATGGACCAGCTGCCGTCGTTCTGGTGGAAGCTGACCCCTGACACGGCCTGCTCCGTGATGGACTCGGTGCACGCCGCCGGCCTGGGCTCGCTGGAGCTCTGCCGGATCCTCGTGCGCTGGACGTCCCTCTCGCTGCACCAGCTGAGCGAGCAGCACCTGCAGGTGGCGCTGGCCTTCTTCTGCGCGGCCGGACACTGTGACGACACGCTGCAGCGCGTGGCGGAGCGGTACTGCCGCGCGCGCGGCCGCTCCGACCTCCTCACGGCCACGGTCGCCGCACTGGCCACCTTCGCTCTGCGCTTCAACATCCGCTCGGAGGTGCTTCTGGAGACGGCCAGCGACCACTTTGTCTCCCACCAGAGTCAGTACGTCGCCTCTGCCTCCCCGTCCTCCCCCGCCGGCGGCGGCTGGCGTCTGCTGCAGGTGGCGCCCCCACCTCCCGGTGAGGTCACGGTAGTGGTGCGCGCGCTCGGAGAGCTCGACCACCAGCCGCGCGACCGGGTTGGCTTCTTCGCCGCCGTCGAGCGTCACCTGTCGGAGAGTTTCTCGGCCTTCTCCGCAGAGGAGGTGCTCGACATTTGCCTGGCCTGCGTCTACCTGCGCCGCTACCCGTTGAACTTTTTCAGACAGGTGAGCGAACGATCATGTTCTCTCGTTTTGTTAGAAATGCGAAGTTTTTCGCTGTATAATATTTTTAATTATAGGTTTTCTGGAATAGATGTCCGACCACGTTACAGTTTAATGCGCACTCACCACCGCGGACTTTCGTTTTTCGTACCCGCTTATTCGTTTTTTTTTTTGTAATTGCCTGCCGTAAACTAATGCCTTTCCTGAACGGAATATCTTGCAGTTTGCACTACCGTCATGAGTACGTCCCTTGGTCCTCTCTAACCTTCCCTCCAACTCCTACCCGTCGGCAGGTGTTCAACCCGTTCTTCCTGGAGCGAGTCCCGGCCGGCGGACCGGACGCCCAGCGCCTGCGCACCAAACTGAGCGCGCTGGACTGCGCGCTCACCTTCGAGTGTCCCGGCTACCGCGGCCCGATGCTGCCGCGAGACCTCAGCGCCCGCAGCGTGGCCCGGGACGCGCGGGCCGCCCGTCTGGCGCACACAGTGGCTCCTCAGCTGCGCGCCGTGTTCGGGGTGAGCCAGGTGGAGCCGGCCGGCCCTCTGCCGCAGCTGCCGCTCCACCCGCTCTACCTGCCCGACCTGACGTGCCGCCGCGGCGACGGCCGCCGGCTCTGCCTCTTCCTGAACCCGCCGGAGCGGTACGCGCGCGGCACCGAGCACCCGCTGGGGCCGCTGCAGCTGCGGCGCCGGCAGCTGCGGCAGCTGGGACTGGCCGCTGTCGACCTGCCGCTCCGACAGCTGGCGCAGATGGTGGTCCACCCGGCGCTGCTCAGGAAGCGGCTGGCCGACGCCGTGGTGGAGGCAGACTGACCCGGGTAGGTCGACTGGGGGAGGGGGAGGGAGTGAGGGGCGCGACTAGGTTCGAGGTCGACTGGGGGGAGGGAGAGGGGAGGGTTGGCTGTGTGCGACTCCCGGCAGGTCCGGGCAGAGTGACAGGGTGATCCGTCAGGGTGGGATGGATGCTTCGTCAACTTGTGGTACCTTGTGGTTGCTCGAGGTCCGGAATAGGCCTAGTGTGTCGTTGGAGCGGTGGTTCGCTGGTCGGGCTACCGCGCAAGGAGGACTGAAATCGTGCTGCTATGAATGGGCTTCCTCTGGTAATTAAGACAGGCTGGATAAAGCACAGCCATTGAAGTTCGGCCGGGCTCGGCTGTAGGAACTACACAGACTGCCGGGCCCTTTTTCTGAAGCCGTAAAGCAGAGACCTGAGGTCGGTGAGCTGGATCCTACCCAGTGATATGGTTGTGCCACTGAGGGTGCATGGCTGTTCGAGAGCTGCTTGGTGCAAACTATTTTGAGAGAAGTTGTGATATGACTATGGACGTCGCAATATTTGTGAAGAATGGTTGACTTTTTCTTGTAAGAAGAGAATCTTACGTAATATTAAGACAAGTGACTTTGATGTGTTGGGCCAGTGCTTTTGACGGTTAACTATTTTTGTGTTGAAGATAATGTCGTTATTTCGGTGTCAAATATAGTGATATACTTTTAGTCCATAGTTGCCATTCATCTGTGGCCTTTATATCAGCTTACACGTAAAAAAATAAGCAGAAGCATGTTCAAGGGTAACCTCTAGGAAGTAACAATCCTTTCCAACCCAACCCTAACAAACACGGCACATTCTTTGCTTGGGGAATTTATTGTTAAAAGTACGCGTAGCACAATAACGGGCCGGCGCCTGTGGCCCGCCCGCCGACGGCACGGCCCGGGCTACCCGGCTACACGCTACAGTTGCGACTAGTCCGTTCCCAGCTGCCCGTTGGCCGACGGGTCACCGCTCCCCTCGACGCCAGGTCGCTCACATAAGCGCAGAACAATGACTATACTCGCCCTCAACACACCCGAACACTCGCATTCGCGTGATTATAATGAATGAAAATGGCGTGTGCGACGTGACATACTCGTTCAAATCGGCGCCCGTTTTTTCGGATGAACATGGTTCCTTGCGTTCACCTTCATCAAAGCTGAGTAGCATAATTCGATAGCGGCGAGCGCTACAGCTCGGATAGTGCTGACATCTATAGCTGGGCAGGTTCGTCTACCTGTTTTATAGATGACGCTGCAGTCGTTTTGGCCCGCTCTCGTCCTCCGTCGTATGGACGCTCGTATGGCTGACGCCTGCCTGCCAGTGGTCGTCAGCACTCGGCGTTAGCCTCTCAGTTTGGCAGGTAACATCGAATCTGAAACGATGGGAGGCGGTTGTCAGAAGCGTATGGGAATATCGACAAAGGAACACTACCTATGTAGACCAAACGGCTGATTGACGCGCCCGTTGCTTCATGCCATTTTGACTACCGAGACGACCTGGCACGACAATGGCAAGCTTGACATGATATACGAGGCAGTGAAGGGCGACTAGAGGTCAAACTCTGCTTTCTCGAATATGCACCTCACAAGAGATTAACCCACAATCTGAATCCTTCAGTGCATAAAACTTTTCAGTTTTATGTACCTGATCTTGTTTTCACATATTCGCCCGTTGCTGGACTCACCGGTTATTTTGACGGACCTCGCCTCTGAGGCTGCTCGGCCGGGCCGATCAGTGTGTGACGTCATCCATCTGATGACGTCACACTGATCGGCCCGGCGAGGCTGATCGTCTCCACTGGTCGCGGCGGCGGCCTCCCCTCTGACCACTCGACCTCCGGGCGCATCAAGACGCTGTCCTCCCCTCCCCACTCAGACCCCGGAGTGAGGGACAGGCTCCGCACACCCACCGCGCGCGCAATTTGTACTCTCAGGTCACTCTTTGTCCCGCGGCCCGTCACACGATCCGCCGTATCCTGACGTACTGCTGAGTCCTTCTGTCGCCCGCGGCTGCGTGGTGGTACGAACAGTGTTTGGCCAGGAACCGACTGGCGTAGAACCGCGCCGGACACAGACCGCAGCTGTACTTGGGCCGCACCTGGACGCGCACGTGCCGCTCGTGCACGTGCGCCACGAGCAGCACGTGCTCGGGGAAGCGCGCCTTGCACAGGTTGCACTTGAAGAGCGCTGCGGCGGGCGCGGCGGCGGGCGGCGGTGCGCTCAGGTAGGCGGACGGAGGGGAGGGCCTCCGCCGGCGACTGGCGCAGCTCAGCAGCCAGGCCAGTTTGCGGCGCGGCGGCCGGAGCTGCGGTGGAGGAGGCGCCGGTTTGGGGCGCCGCCACCGCACCGGGTCGGGCTCGCCGGAGTCGGCTGGCGGCGGCGGCGGCGGGAGGTCGGCCCCCTCGGTGTCCGATTCCTCCGTGTCGGTGGCGGTTCGGACCAGCACCAGGGGGTCCAGCGGCGGTGGCGGGCGGGGCCCGGGCGAGGCGCGTCGCCGCGGGCTGACGAACTGACCAGTGCCGTAGGTGCGGCCCACGGAGCCGTTGAGCTCGGCATCCAGCCGGCTGAGCGCGGAGACGGCGCGGGTGACCCGCTCAGCACTCTCCCGCCGGGCCTGAGCGCCGCTCGGCGCCCCCTGTCTGCCCGCCGCGCCGCCGCCGCCGCCGTGCCGACCGCTGCTCCGGAGGATCCCCGGCCGCGGTGCGCCGCTGGCCACCTGGCGGCGGGACGGCGAATCAGGCGCGATCAGCTCGGCCGTGGCGGCGAACCGGAGCGTTTTCGGCGAGCGGGGAGTGCGGACCGACCCGGGAGCCGGAGCCGGAGTACTGGCCGCCGCCGGACGGAACCCCTCCACACCGGCCGGCGCGCGAGGCGAGCTGAACTTCAGCGGACCACCTCCGGTACCGAGCAGTCGCACGGAGTGGTAGCGCGGCCGGGCGGCGGCCAGGTCCCCGAACTCTCTCACAAACCCCGCGTCATCTTCATCGTCCGAGAGGCGCCGCTTCACCTCCGTCTCACAGCAGGCGCCGTCCACACAGACGCCCGCCGCCTCGTCACTAATATCCCGGCTGTCCGGAGGGGAGGCGCTCTCGGTGCTGTACCCGGAGGAGCTCTTCTTGTCGGCCGGGTCGTGACCGAGATCGTCCGGCTCCGGGCCGGGACAGCGCACGTATAGGCCGGTCCAGGAGCCCAGCTGGTGCTCCATCTGGTTCAGCTGACTGATGTCCGTGTTCAGCTGGTCCAGACACTGAGACAGGTTGATGCGCTGCAGGTCCCGGATCAGGTCGTCAACGTTGCGCGGCTGCGGCAGACGCGGCGGCGGCGGCAGCGCACCGCTGCGGCCGCCGCACGGTGCTGGCATCTAGCGGACGCGCTGCCAAGCTGTAGTTACATCATTCCACCATCTGAGGGAGACAGAAGTCCGGGTTAGGATTTGTGGCATCGGCGATCGCTTTGGGCAGATAAGGCGGTTCGGCGATAGCTGGCAATGAAACCTTTCGGCAGCGACGGATCGTTAGCCCATGACTTAGGTGTAAATGACGCCTCACTCAGCTGAACATGATAATTAGATGCGCGGGTGGTTATCGCTTATCGGTCCAGGCCCATCAATGTCTCCGATGAGTTGGGACTGATGGTTTACGAGACCGCCGAGCCACCCCGATCCCCTGATAACAGAACCCAGTAATTATTGGGTATCAAATGGCTAGGAGATTATGGAATGATCTGACAGCTTCATTTAACTCGTAATGAAGGGTATACGCCTCATGTGACACCATATTTCCCCATTTATGACCAGTTTTGTGGAAGTCGAATGACTATGTAGGCCCCGCATTTTGAGTTTTAGCAATAAGTTTCTACACCCTCGCTTCTGCCTCTGTCTATTAGACGCTATCAACCCCATATGCCTTTCTTCAGTCAGGGTGATGCCTACAGCGGAGGAGGGCCTTCACTGACCTAAATCCATCGCTCTTCAGCCGAGTGACCAAACCGCTCATTGGTCACGTACTCGACCCAATAATCTCTCATCGCCCATCACAGGCTCATATTGGCTGTAAGACGCTGATATTGGCTGTAACGCTGATGAAGGGCCACTCTGACACATAGTCCGTCATCTAAGTCAATATGGTGGAGACAACTGACAAGTTGGGTTTCTGGGCATGCAGATGCCATTCGTTATCTCGAGGGCTCAGGTTTTTATGAAATGTTAACCCGCGAGTTGCTGGGGGGGGGGGGGGGGGGGGGGCGTTAAACGCCCCCACTTTTTTCGCCGGGCCATAGCATAAAAACGGCGCGCCGCCAACTTTTGGGTACCTGTAGGGAATTGATTGAAGTTTATTGTGACAAAGTTTCAAAAAAATCGGTCGGAACATTTTTGAGATGTCGAGGTTTTAGTGACGTCATGATTTCTGAGTTTTCGACCAAAAACGGCATATGTTCAAAAAATCATATAAAATCACAGAATAGACATACAGACATGCCGTAAACGCCATTAGACTGCCAATACCATGAACAATCAAATGGCTATCTTCGATTATTGATTTTCGGCATTTTCCAAAATCTTGAACTGAATCTTGACAATTTCTCGTGACTACTTCACGACCATGATACATGCATTTCTTAAATTGAACTTTTTGAGCCAAACACGTACACATATGATAAAATGAATGTCACCATCGTGTTCTACGCCCCAAATTACCCATAAAACATGTGTCACAGGCTGCGAATATCAGTTTTGATTTTCGGGGATATGTGCCTACCCGGTTGACCTGACCTTGACCCTGACCTATGCTTGACTGACACCTACATGGAGCTGACACTCTTGTAGGCCTTATATGATGGATTGTGCACCGTTTTGACAGAGTTTATGACGAGAGGCGCCCATTGCGAAGTCCTGAAGTCCATGCTACTGAAAGGCCGATTTCAGGTGTTTGACCTGACCTTGACCCGACATGTGACCTCAAAATTCAACTTTAAAGTACTCATCTGAAGCGTCTCGTCGCGTTCTTTCGTTTGCCGCCTCGTGCGTTTCGCTGCGCCTCGAGTTATCGGCTGGGGGTGTTTAACGCCCCCCCCCCCCCCCCCCAGCAAACGGTGGGTGGCGAAATACCCCAGCAACTGCCAGGTTAAGTTATTTGATTTTCATTCAACTCATGCGAGGCCAGCGCTGTACCGGACTAAAACGCCGTTCAACTTATGCGCCTTTCGAACGGAGTCTTTTTGTGCATCTCGCTGCAATAGTTCAAGAGTCTGGGTACATTTTAACTCGAGTCGGAGTACGCAATCAGTGCTCCACTCAGACACATCAACTCCCCTGGTTCCCCATCCCTCCCCTCCTCCGACTGTCGGCCCGGGGCTACCCGCTGGTCGCCCACGTCCGCTCACGTCGCGGCGAATTCACATCGACGTCCGGGCCGTTTTTAGACTGAAAAAAAAACTCGTCGATCGTGCGCCCGACAATAGCTGTCGTCAGCGGCGTAACACCGACACGCGTAGACGCCCGCTGACAGAACTCCTGTGGGTGCGCCGGCCATAAACGGCCACCTGAAACAAAAGGCACCCCGCCGGGCCGGCCGAAAAACACGCGCCAAAACCAACTCCCGCGCGCCGCTGGTTCAGGAGTTTTTGCGCGTGGAGGGAGGGGTGGGGGCGTGCGACCGAATATATTGACCGGTCCGATTGGTTTTGGCCGCGGAGGTCACACGGGTCACTGGGAGGTCAGGCGAGATATGGTGGGCGGTGGACATTTCGGGCTATCGCTGGTCCGGCGGTGCAGCTGTGGTTTTTGTGTTGATTGGTCTAAGAAGAAACCGCACAGCCGGGACCTGCTGCATCTGGAGATCTTGTCCAAGACGAGAGGAAAACACGATGACACTGATGTTGTGATTTCTCCGAGGCAGCTTTCCTGGCCGCCGTCCGTCTCAGGTCACCGGCAAACGAACGAACTTCCACCGGAGCAGTGACGGGGCGATTCTGTGTAGCACATCTCCACATTGCACGGCGGGTCGCCTAAGGTCATACCTACACGATCACTAGGTACTGACTGCATGACGGCGTCCCGTTTCGTTACCCCAGCGGCGCCGCGACTGATCACCGCGCTGAATATGCATACCGGACACCTAACCGTGTCATCACAGCGCCAAGACAGATGGCCGCTCTGACTCGCATAATTGGCGAGCGGCGCCGGAAATTCCGCGGGCGTATCGATGAGCTCCCTGTGGTCAGAGAGGTGCGATCCATCATCAGGGGTGTTCGCAGCGCGTGCCAGGTGGCCAAACACGATGGCATATCGGCAGGCCTCCAAGACGAGACGAGACGTGTTCCTTAGCAGACTTCGTGAGGGTTAAGTCTACCGCTCTTGGCCACAGACCGAACGCCTGGGTTTCCGATCAACAGATATACCTACAGGGTGTCTCATAAGTTCGTTCTCACATTATATTTGCATGTGAAACAGAGTACATTGCGTCTTGATATATTTGTGACCCCTCAATGTGCTCCCCATTTAATAGGCAAACACATGAACACATGCTGCGGCATGCAAACCGGCATGTTTGGCTGCATAGCAGGCTTAAAGTTAATCCAGACTGACTTGACATGCGTCGTGAGCTCCTCGAGGCTGGAACAGCGCTACGCTTCGACGAGCCTAATTTTCAGCATAACCAACAAATTTTTATGAAATTTTGATCCGATGAGGTGCCTGGCAGGTGGTCTTGCCACAAACGCCTGTCACAGTCTCCTTGCACCGCTTTTAAGCTTTGCTTGACCTGTGCACTGATGCACTGTCTTGCCTGAAGATGGGCCTACGACCTCTCGGATGCCATTTTCTCCTCTATAAATGTGTTCATACTCGCGGTTCGAGTTAAGCTTGAGGGTTGAAACTCCTCCTAGATGTTCTTGGAAAAGCATTATGCTTCCCAAAGCTGTTTCTGGGACACCATTCGCAACCTGGTCAGCGTCTGGACGCCTATAACCCCACAATACCGTGACCTTGGCCTTTCGCATAGGAACATAACGGGACGAAACGGAGGCCTCCTCCTTCGCCCTTATGGGGTTGTTTTCGGGTTTGGACGGGTGTTTCATCTCGAACGTGGACTAGTTAGTCCAGATGACCTGGTTGATGTCCTCAGCCCTTTAGTTTTTTTAGCCTCAGGCATAGCGAAACTCATGTTTGGCCATTTTAAGACGTTTTTGACTGTTTTGAGCCCTCCGGTAAGCAAAGCTTAAGTCACCTTGAGTTATGTACCCCGAAAGAACACTCTTAGACAGCTGGTAATCCATCCTGAAAAGTCTGTTTACCAACTTCCCAACCCTTTGACCTTTTTGATGGCCACTTTGGCGCCACACAGTTTTGGCCACATGGCTCACTCCTGAGAGCTGACAAAAAAGAGGATAAACTTGCAATGATTAACTCCCGACAAATCATCGGTGTCACTTGCTGACTGTGCGTCCAGTTAGCGATGGACATTGTCTACAGACTGGTAGGCGTCAATCACCCTCAATCGTCGCGAATGGTCACGTGCTGACTAAATACCGAGACGTACCCGTATTGGAGACCTCTATGTTGCGGCGTTAGCCGTCTGTGTAGGAAACGGGCTCTCTAGCAAAAACTATTTTGTCTACATAAATTAGTTACTGTGGAGCATATTTCTACCAGCCATGGCAACCACGTAAGCTCAGTAACGAACCAATTTCAGCGTGCCTTTAAGCAAGAGAGCCTAAAAACGTAAAATTTAGGTGAGAACGAACTTATGGGACACCCTGTACATCCAGATTTTGATAAAGAGTTCATTTCATCCTCCTGAACTTGCATCATGATATAGCACATCTTAAAATCTGATGTCTGTGCATTCGTGGGTTTGAGACGGCGTTTCGGGATACCCGATCGGATAATTGCCGGTTCGTGACCACCGAGGCGCTCCTTTGGTCGTTAAACGAGAAACTACTCTCGTAGGGTCAGTGGGCTTTTGTCCATGAGATTTGATCTGACCGTGCATGATCTGTAATCTCTAAATGTGCGCACCTGAAGGTACGCGCCTGTGTGCGCAGCATGCACTAGCTGTGCATGCGCTATAAAGCAACACTTGTAAAATATAGGTAATCTCTAAGTTCATCGAGCCATCGTGTGGTTAGATACGGGTGTCTCATCAGATAAGACAGCGATGCACGATATTCGAAAATATGAATTTAAAAGTAAATTGGCGTACTACAATAAAAACTTCAAATACAACCGTAAATTGTGGATCGTCTCCAATAAAAATGCCGGTTTCAAGTAAAAGGTTTAAGCAGAAATCATATTTTGGGAGAGAACTTATTCACAGAGCAAAGATTTGGCACTTTTTGTACAACCAAACAGCATTGATCGGAAGCATTGGGAAGCATTCCAATGCTAAAAACCTTTGGGAGGATA